CCTGGGCACAGCCTCCACCCCCCCAATTCCCCCCTAAACCCCTTCATCCCACTTCCAGCCCCTCAATTCCCCCCCAGCCCCCCAATTCCTCCCCAAACCCCTTTATTCCCTCTTTCAGCCCCCCCAATTCCTCCCCAAACCCCTTCATTCCCCCACAAACCCCAAATTTCTGCCCCTAACTCCCTTTGTTCCCCCTCCAACACCCCCAATTCCCCCCTAACGCCCTCCATTCCCTCTCCAGCCCCTCCAATTCCTCCCCAAACCCCTTTATTCCCTCTTTCAGCCCCCCCAATTCCTCCCCAAACACCTTCATTCCCCTCCAACACCCCCAATTCCCCCCTAACGCCCTCCATTCCCTCTCCAGCCCCTCCAATTCCTCCCCAAACCCCTTTATTCCTCCCCTAGACCCCTTCCTCGCCCCGTCCCCACTCACGGAGGCGCCGAGGATGACGAGGACATGCGGGTGGCCCTGCAGGAAGGCTCCGTCCCGGCTCAGCTCCTGCCGGAGCATCCCGCACACCTGCGAGCGGCTCAGCTCCCCCCCGGCGCCCGGCGCCTCCTCACCTGGGCCCGGCATCGCTCCTGGGGGCCGGACCGGGCACTTGGGGGGCAGGTTCGGGCACTTGGGGGGCCGGATCGGGCACTTGGGGTGCAGGTTCGGGCACCCCGGGCAGGATTCGGGGAGCAGAGGAACAGGTTTGGGCACCCCAGGGCAGGATTTGAGGGGTTGTGGGGCAGGAATGGGCACCTGGAGGAAGGGGTGGGCACTCGGGGGGCAGGGCTGGCACTTGGGGGGCGGGTTGGGACAGGGCAGGATTCGGGGAGCAGAGGAACAGGTTTGGGCACCCCAGGGCAGGATTTGAGGGGTTGTGGGGCAGGAATGGGCACCTGGAGGAAGGGGTGGGCACTCGGGGGGCAGGGCTGGCACTTGGGGGGCGGGATGGGACACTTGGGGGGCAGGGCTTGCACCTGGGGGGTGGGATGGGACACTTGGGGGACGGGATTTGGAGGTTTTGGGGCGGGGCTGGGCACCTGCGGAGCGGGATTTCGCAATTGGGGGGCAGGGTAAGAAACTGGGGGACAGGGCTGGGGTGTTTTGGGGCGGGGTTGGGCACCCGGGGTGGGGTTTTGGAGTTGGGCGGGGCAGGACACGCCCTCCCCCCATTGTCCCCTGTGCGTGTTCCCGTGA